GGAGGAAGTGTCCGTGTTGTTGTTGTTGTTGTTGGCTGCCATTGAGCTGGTTCTGACTCACAGTGACCTGATGTGCAGCTGGTCCTACGCCAGCCTCACAACTGTTCTTCGGTTTGAGTCCCTTGTTGCAGCCACTGTGCCGACACGTGCTTTGTGAGGGCTTTCCTCTTTTTCACCCTCCCTCTGCTTTACAAGCACGACGACCTTCTCCAGGGATTAGTCTCACCTGATATCATGTCCAAAGTATGGAGTCTTGCCATCGTTGCCTCCAAGGAAAATTCTGGCCATACTTGTTCTCAGACAGATTTGTTTATTCTTTTATGAATTATTGATTGAAGTCTAGGATTGCATTGATGTCATGAAACGACATGTTTATGAATGGCTTAAAGAAAAACTGATTTGATCTGTAAACCTTTATCCAATTCACAATAAAAAGCTTAAATTTTTTTTAAATCAAATAGAAGGAAATGAAGAAAACAAAATCCAGTCTCAAATTATAATAATCCTGGAAGATTCTATGGACAAAATATTGACTAGTACAGGAAGCATCAAAAGAAGATGGAGGGGGTAGACAGTCACTGCACAAAAAGAATTGGGTGATGTTCAGTCATGTCCAGAGGCAGCAGCTGATCAAGAACTGACTGTCTGGAAGGAGAAGTCCAAGCTGCCCTGAAGGCACTGGTGACAAACAAAGCCCCAGCACCTGATGGGATGCAAACTGAAATGTTTCAACAAGTGGAGGCAGGATGGAGGTGCTCACCCAGTGACCTGGCCAATCAACTGAAGAGATCTGTTTTCGTGCCTGTGTCAAAGAAACGTGACTCAGAAAGATGTGGAAATTATTGAACAGTGTCATTAATATTACATGCAAGTAAAATGTGCTGCAGAGAATTCAGCAATGGTTGCAGCAGTGCCTTGAGGGTGAGCTGCCCAAAAACTTCAGGCCAGATTCAGAAGAGGATGTGGCATGAAGAATGTATTGCTGATGTCAGATGGATTGGGACTGAAAGCAGAGAATGTCAACAAGGTGTTTGCCAGTGTTTATTGATGACACAAAGGCATTCGACTATGTGGAGCATAACAAATTATGAATAGCACTGCTAAAAGAATGGGAATTCCAGAACACTGAATTGTGCTTCTGTGGAACCTGTACATTGTTCAAACAGAACAAGAGGATGCTGCAGAGTTTAAATTCTAAAACAGCATTGCCAGGATGGTGTCTTTTCACCATACCATACTCAATCTGTGTTCTGAGAAAATAATCAGAGCAACTGGGCCACATGAAGAAAAACAATGCATCAGGACTAGAGGAAGTCTCGGGAACAAACTAAGATATGCACTGCTTGCTGAAAAGGAAGAGGGCTTGAAGCACTTACTGACGAAGAGACAGCCGAAAACCTTCAGAAGGGATTGATTTCACCTCCACTGAAGCAAACCCAAACCCTCACCACTAGGTCAATAAGCAATATCGTGATAAAGGCAGAAGAAGTATATTGAAGTTGTCAAGGATTTCGTTTTACTTGGACCACAGTCAACACGCACAGAAGCAGCAATGTAAAAAGACCATCAGGCCCAGCTGCTGCTAAAGATCTCTTAAGAGAGCAGAGCTGTCACTTTGAGAACTCAGATGTGCCCGACTCAGACCAGGTGTTTCCTGTTACCTCGTATGCGTGCACAAGCTGGCCAATGAGTAAAGAAGACTGGAGACAACTGAAGCGTTTGCATTATGGTTTGGGTGATGAATATTGACTATGGACTACGAGAAGCATGAACACATCTGTGTTGGAGGAAGTACAGCCAGAAGGCCCCTGGGAAGTGAGACTGTGTCTTGTGTGCTTTGGACATGCCATCAGGAGGGACCAGTCATTCAAGAAAGACATCATACCTCCTAAAGCAGAAGGTCAGAAGGAAAATGGGAAAGCCCGCAACAAGATGGACTGACGCAGTGGCTGAACAACGGGCTCAAACAGGGCAAGACTGTGAGAATGGCACAGCACCAGGCAATGTGTTGGTCCATTGTACATCAGGGCACTGTGAGTTGGAACAGACTTGAGGCACTGTGTTAGGCTGGGTTGACTAAAGAAACAAATCCTGTGACATTCATATATGTGCAAGAAAGAGCTTTATAGCAACAAGTAATTAGATATCAAAAAAACAATCCCAGCCCATTCCAATTCAATTGCATAAGTCTGATACCATAACTCCCTCTTCAGACTCATGCAGCCACATGCGACGATGCAGAATGTAGGAAGGTCACAGGCAGTCATATGGATCCAATGGCAGTGGTAACATTGCAAGGCTGTGGCAGCAACCAGGATCAGCCAGCAGGAAGGTGAAGGCAGAAGGAGAAGTGTGTATGTGTGTGTGTGTGTGTGTGTGTGTGTGTGTGTGTCCAAGGGGGAGGTGGGAGAGGGGAGAAGGGGAGGTTCCCAGGGCCCTCCTTATGAGAATGCTGTGCCCACAAGGGAGGCACCATTAGGTTGTGACTTGATTGACAGGTAAACCCCACCCCTATACTTTTATATATCTTCAAGTTGACATGAAATTATGTAACTAGAGCAGGCACCTAACAAGAACAGCATGCTTTACTCAAATTTAGTATCTTGACTCCAAGTAATATAAATATGTGAGAATGAAATGAAATAAACGTAAATGATCTCTAAAGGTCACAATCAATTTTTTAAAATCAGAGCATTCAGTGAACCAAGCACTGGGCTGCTAACCTCCGTAAAGGCTGATGGCTGGGGTACACCCACTGGTGCCACAGAAGAAACCTCTGAGGAGCTGCTTCCAGGGGACCCCAGACTTCGGAAACCCCAGGAGCACAGTTCTGTTCTGAAGCACTTGTGTTCGCTGTGACTGAGCCCAAGCCAACTCAGTTCAACGGATTGATTGAAGCCCCACGGACTGTGGTGTCAGTGCCACTTGAGCCTGACCCCAAGCTCCACCATCTTCCTGCCCATTCCAAAGAGAAGTGGTTCCACGGGATGTGGGGCAGACGCTTGCATGACCATCTCGGATAAATTCCTGAGTTACCATGGTCCTCCATGGTCTCAATTGTAAAGACAAGATATTAGCCACTCCCAGAACTCATGTCAGGATGAAATAAGTAGCATTTCTAAAAATGAAACAAGAGGGTGGAGAAAAGTTGGAGGGTGGGGGCAGTAAAAGGGAGACCATATAAAGGAGTCCAGGAAGAAAAATAATGTTTGGAATCTGACTGTGGTAGCAATTGTACAACTTTGCTTGGCATGACTGAACTATGGAATGATATGATATATGCATTAACTCCAAATTAATAATAAGATTTTTTTTTAAATAAATTAGAATGACACAAACTTTTTGTGCCTGGCACTTACTTGGCAAACAATTAACTAGTAGTTTTAGTCATTCTTTTCCTCTTTGTTGATGCATTTACCATAACATTTTAAAATTCTGGTATCTGTGACCACTGAAGACAAAATGGGGGCATAAGCAAATGTGGTGAAGAAAGCTGATGGTGCCCGGCTAGCAAAAGATACAGCATCTGGGGTCTTAAAGGTTTGAAGGTAAACAAGTGGCCATCTAGCAGACAAGCAACAAAGCCCACATGGAAGAAGCACACCAGCCTGTGTGATCACGAGGTATCGATGGGATCTGGTATCAGGTATCAGAAGACCCAAACAAACAATCATATCAATGTACATTATGGGGGTCAGAGATCCAAAGCCCATCTGTAGGCACTTGGACATCCCCTCCAGAAGGGTCCCAAGGAAGGGACGAGTCAGCCAGGGTGCAGTATAGCACCTAGGAAACACACAACATCCCTCTGGTTCTTTAATGCTACTCCACCACCCACCCCCACTATCGTGACCCCAGTGCTACCTTACAAACCCAGCTAGACCAGAGGCGGTACACTGGTACAGATAAGAGCTCTTGACACATGGCCATCCAGGACAGATAAACCCCTCAGGAACAATAATGAGAGTAGTGATAACATGGGGGCAGGGGGAAGGTGGGAGGAAAGGGGGAGAAAGGGGAAACAGATCGCAGTGATGTATAATGTCCCCCCACCCCAGGAGGGCGAACAACAGAAACGTGGATAAAAGGAGTCAGCAGTCAGTGTAAGATATGAAAATAATAATAATTTATAATTTATCAAGGCAAGGTGGGGCATGGGGCTGATACCAAGGGCTCAAATAGAGAGCAAATGTTTAGAAAATGGTGATGGCAACATATGTACAAATATGATTGATACGATTGATATATGGAATGTTGTAAGAGCTGTAAGAGCCCCCAATAAAATGATTTAAAGAAAAGGAAAGGAAAAGGGATTATTTTTAAAGAGTTAAGCATAAAATTACCATATATTCTACTAATAGGTATCTGACCTAGAGAATTGAAAACATCCACACCACCAGGTGTACAGGAGTGTTTATGGCAACATTATTCATAATAACCCCAAAGTGAAAACTACCGAAATGGCTATCATTTGATGAGTGTGGATAAACAAATGTATCCACACAATGGAATATTAGTTCCTCATAGGAAAGGATCCTTGCTGATGCATGCTGTCACGTGGGGAAGCCTAGCCAACATGATGCTGCATGGACTATGTTAGGCACGGAAGGTCACATATCCAGAATAAGCAAAACGAAAGCCACAACAAATAGGTCCGTGGTTACCAGGAGCTGGACAGGGAGGGGATTTAGGAGTGATGGCGGAGGGTGTGAGCTTTCTTTCTGAAGTGAGGAAGAGGTTTTAAGAGTAGATTGTGGTGATGGTCCCAAGGTTCTGTGAACAAAACAGGAAAAAACAACCACACACTGAAATAATCCTTTTAAAGGGGGGAGTTTAATGGCAGTGAAGGACACCTCAGGTTTAAAAAGAATATGTAATTAATTCTAAATACCGCCAACAGTCAATGGATGGAAATACTCCAGTGGAGTACTTTGCTATTTTATCATCCTTGTTTAGGAAAAGTGTTTCTTTTATGTATGATGTTGTTGTTGATATTCCAGCAGGAGCTGAAAATGAAATCTAGCAGGGGCCTACCAAAGACTGTACCCAGACAAGTGACGTGGGCAGAGGGTGAGGATTCAGAACCCAGCGTGGCAAGAGGAGACAACAGCGATGCTGAGAGTGGTGACGGGAGAGCTGGCGTCGTCGCTGTGACTGGGTTCCCCCCGGTGCTGAAGGGTTAACTGACCTTCAGGAACCTTCTCTGGGGCATCAGAGGCCCCACTCTGCACTGTTATCACAGCGAGGAGGGCTGCGCCATGGGAATGAGGCAGCACTCAACGGTGCGTGTGTTTCAACAACGCCTTTGACCAGATGACGCAGCAAAACTATTTTTGTGTTTGTTAGCCTGATAACTGAAAACAAATTATGTGCAGTAATACCGGGAGCTGGAGGTTTTCTTAAATTAGGCATTTGTGGGCTTTCCCCCTCCCTCCCCCTGGCTATGAAGACTTTTTTATTTTGGTCTGTTAACATACTTTGTGCTTTGTGGGTTTTGTCTGTAATTCCTTGGTGCTTGTTAGTTGAATGGCTATCTGAACAAATTAAAGGCCTTTCACCCGATGAAACTACAATCTGCCTCCGGAATATATAACCTAAGTTATTAAGGGAGCTCAATAGGTTTGGGTTAAAGAAATTAAGGCATGTTGTTGAAATCGTCCTTAGGAGTCAGTTGAATTTCTCTCTCTCTCTCTCTCTCTCTCTCTCTCTCTCTCTCTCACACACACACACACACACACACACTTAAGATCATGTTGACACTATTCCTCAACGATGAGTATCTACCCTGTAGTTGAACCAAAACCCTCACTGCCATTGACTCCATTCTGACTCAGAGAACCCTGTAGGGTAGAGGGCAACAACCCCTGTCTGTTCTAAAGCCATGGTTCTTTATGGGAGTAGACAGCCTCCTCTTTCTCCCACGGAGTGGCTGCGGGCTTCAAACTTCTGACCTAGCGTGTATCCCTTTCTTAATTTATTCAACAAAATCCTTATATATGCTCACCCCTTTGGTACAACCCAGGATTCAAAAATGAGGAACACAGGCATAGTCCCCACTGCCCTTGTGGTGCTGACAGGAGAGTTTTAATTAGATGCACACACACACACACACACACAAAACACGGGAAAAAGCTCCACTGCCAAAAATAGACTTTGGGGCCAGGGCGTGGCACCCCATCAGACTCTACCGGAAAACACT